CTCCTCGTGGGCCTGGCGGGCGTCGGTGGCGATCTCGTTGGCGCGCAGGACGGCCGTCATGGACGAGAGGGAGCGTTTGGCGGCGAGCAGGTGTTCCACCAGTGTCTCAACCGGGACGGGGTCGGCGGCGTTGGAGGCGGAGTCGGAGGTGGCGGGATCGCGGCGGTCTCTGGAATGTGAAAGGGAGTCTCGGCCGGCGGAGGTGGACGAGGCTGCGCTCCGGCTCTGCGACGGCGAGTTCGCCATGTTGAATGGGGAAAAGAAAGAAGAAAAAGGTGGATGCCAAAAGGGTTCTGCTGACTTCACGGGGATGGTCAGGAATTGAATCGATGCATATTTAGAAGAAAAAGGGCAAAGAGGTCTGCGATAATAGGTGGTCAGGTCCAGCAGGGTGCGAAAGGGAAACGGAGGGCGGATGGAGGAACGGGAGGACGGGCGGGTAGTGTAGGTAGATGGGATGGTGTAGGGGACGAGGATGATGTCGCGATAAGGTTGGAGCTCGTCAGGTGTGTGATCCCTTATCGGCCTTATCGCAGCGTGGTGACGCGCCGTAGGGGTTCCTGTTAGTGCAGGCGCTCGGCCGTTCGCAGCAGCCTTATGTCACTAGTGGGTACCTCCCCCCTGTAGCAGGTCACTTTGGGCCCGTCTGATTGGGCGAGAGTCAGGGGACTGGCTGTCGCTGTCTGGGAAGCTCCCCGTAGCTTGCTGCTTCTCCAGCGCTCTGCAACGCTAATCCAAAGGTCCAGAACGCTGCCATGTTTCGCTGCGAACGGAAGTGATTCGCTCAGCTCCGTGCCGTGTCACCCTTCGCCGACCAGATTCGGCTCACCGGCCAGGGATATCTACCTCTCTGGTCATGATTACTTTTTTTGACGTCTGTCTGTCTAATAACAAGCTGGAAACCCCTGACGCAATGCAAGACACGGCTGAGTCCCCTTTAATGGCGTCATACCTTCTCGGAATGACATGGGCAGTTCTGGTCTCCCACGATCCTCGCATTTGGATTACCCCCGTACACCCAGACCTCGTATGTCCTTCTTCCACCGGGACTATCCACAACTATCCCCCGGAAGCTCCGTTGGTGAGACATCTCGGGCGTAGTCACGCCGCAGCTTTCCGCCATGGTGTCTTGACTGCGTATCGACCGCAGAGGCAGTGCCTCCGTCGACGCGGTCCTCCTTCTGGGGCGTCTCGTAAATATCCTCGAGAGGCACTTGCGCATGTATTCAATGAACGGCTTCGTGGTGCCAAAGACTAGAAACACAAGCAGAGATGCCGTTACTCCGGGCATGAAGAGGAGGAAATCTTGCCGCGCTCGCTTGGCGGAGATGTCCGGCGTAAGCCGGGCGTGGTCCACGGCAATGTTCTTTCTCGCGCTCGTCGAAAACAGCATGATGGTGACTTCAAACATACTGTCCAGAGTTAGCTTTTTCCGTTTCTCCGTAATATCTCGAGCGTATTTCCGAGAAACTTACGCCAGAATCACAAACGAAATCATGAATCGCAGCATGAGCCATCTGTCGTAAATACTCGTCTTGCGGGGCTTGTGCCCGCTGGTTCCTCTCGAAGATGACGGCTGGCCGTACCCAACGTTCAGCTTCTGCAGCCTTCGTCTGGATTGGATGTATCGTATCAGTATGGCCAGTGTTGCAACGCTGCCAAAGCCGATGCTCCATAACACTGTTACTGTCAACATCCTTCCAGTTTTGTTGAGAAATGGGGAACCTACATGGCTGTCCAGCCAGCAACAAGAATCCTCCAAAATTGTTCCGTATTGACGGAGCTTGCAGGCAGGTTGTCGTAACTAGAGGGAACAAGGGTGAAAACACCTTCCCGACTCGGTTGATGATCAGAAGTGGTCTCTTGAGCTTTGGCTTCTCATTCAGGCCCCAGACGGATTGCGCTAGTGCGAAAGCCCTATTGAATTTATGGTTAGAATCACGCAGTTATTTTGCCCATCAAAACGAGTATTCGTACCAGAACATGTCGAACAACGCAAGCACGTTGTAACAGTAGTATTCTTAGTCATGTCAGTGGTGATCCAGCATAGCTCAGGTGAAGACTTACGAATGTAGTACAGCACCAAATCTTCCCCAATCGCAGCATTCGATATAACAGCCTCAGGGCTCGCAACGTTGGTCGCCGCATATTCAAACCGAGCAGTCATGATGTCCTCCCAATACAACACGAGTCGAGTTTGCTGTATGATGGAGCAAACCGTGCTCAGTGTCGTGAAGTATGCCAAACAATTCACATCTAAACTCATTAGTTATTGTTGGGAGTCACTTCATGCCGAGCACAACATACAGCTAATCCGTTCGCCATGTTGCCAAGCAAGCCATACTACCATCAGACTCCCCAACAGACATATAACAGAGTAAATAAGGACCCCAACGACCGTGCCCACGGCGTCTTCCGGGATCTGAGCCATGGTACGGACGACTCGTCACAAAATCACCATGTCGTCGATGAATCGGTAGTAAAAGAGGCACAGACCATAAGTTCACAAGAATGGCATATTCCGAATCGTATATTTATCATCTCAACTAGCCGCACCCATCCTTCCCATGGTTGCCACATCGCAGCCCTCCCGAAAGAAGAAGGAGGCAAAAAGTCGAAGGAGAAAAAGCGATGCATTATCACCCACACCATCCTCTTTATCCCGGCCCCATCCACACCTTTCTTTCCCTTTCCTTCCTGCCGTCCTGCCGTCGGGAGTGTTCCGGCGCGAGACCAATAGGGAGTTTCCATTTACACACTCTTCGCCTTAATGAGCGAACCACCCATCCATCTTATCCTGCTACCGGAATAATTATCGGACGATAACGTCGAACTTCACCTCGGCTTCGGCCCAAGCCTCCTGATGGGGACGCATGCGTCTAGAGAGAATCTGCAGGGGGTTGCTGATATGAAACCCCCGCTTTTGATATCCCATCTTGAACGACCACAGGCTCCAGCTTCTTTAGCATCGTGGGTATAATGCGCCTGTTATGATCGTAGGCCTGGGTTGCCGAAATGGTAGAATGGTGCTTGGGTACGAGAAACGAAACAAAAAGATTCACTTGCGTGCTTGTGGGTAAAGAGAAGTGAGTCTTGGCTGTTGGGAGGCCTCGGCCACAAAATGATGATGTGACTGAGATGAATTTGGTTCTTTCGACTCCGAAACCTTGGGACAATCAAGTTTGGTTTGGGACGATTAACTGCATTTCAGACACTTTAGAATTAAGAAATGATGATACACCAACGCAAAGTCGACACAGCAGAAGTATCACCAGTTTTAGTCCCCCCACCCGGATTGAGTTCAATTGACAGCGGCACCGTCCGAACACGCGGCTTCATCCCACACGATGTCACTTCCAAAGAAGACAAAGAGTAAAAGGCCCCCAAAATCAGACTTCCCACACGCACTCATCAACAAAAATCCTGTCCGAAGCCTTCGGACCTTCACCACACCAGACATCAAAAAACCCCGGGACCTGCATGCAGCGATATGCTTATTGTGTGCTCCGTCAGCAATACCCCGCAGCACGCATCTCTTTCCCTGAGTGGAATTCTCCGAACACGCATCAAAATTCTCCTTCCTTCCCTGGAAACCATCCCCCGGACTCGCGTTCTGGATTCGCGCACCGCCATGCAGCGCACAACGTCTGCTCCGTTTCTGTGCTGGCTTCCACCAAAATGAGGAAATCGCTGCTGTACTGCCGACAGGAGCCGGCGTGCAATCCCTTCCGCGTTGGGCCAGACTGCAGCATCATGGTGGGAGGGCAATTGATCAGCGGGAAGGGCAGATAAAACCCCTGCAGCAGTAGCTGCCACATGGGAGTTGTGGGTGGGTTGTTTGGGCTCACGACATGGTCGCCGATCGACGAGTGCCTGCCTGCCCGGCCGGCGCCCCAGCCACCCTCTTTTTTCGACTTCCGCAGCCTTTCGTTCAGAGACCGTTGCAATTGAGTGTGAGGGTCGCATCACGAGACGTTAGTGAAAGTGCTTGCAGGACTGGCTCCGTTTCGAGCCAGGGGCGGCCCGCGACGGCGACGCCCGGCGAGCCTGAATGACGGAGACATCCGTGGGAGACACAACCAGGCTGGCACACGGATTCTATCAGTCGGGCTAACTTAGACTTGAGTTCTACCGTTTTGGCCGAAGTGAGGTTGCATTCTCGGGCGGATCGTCGTCTGTTCTAGACTTGCATGCCGTGGTGGCGATGGGTTGAGACACGCTTGTGTCTAGATGAGGTGAAACTTGACACCATCTTTTATCGACCACGTGTATCAATCAAAATCCCATATTGCCATCGATCTTTGTAATCCTTAGAAGATCGGTTTTAACTGACATGTCTCGTCTGAAGGGGTGTGTGGCTTCGGCTCCGGGTTACCCATCGGCCACCGGCTAAGATCACCGGGGATGGAGCTGGGTAAAGTCCCGTTGTGTGAGTGCAAGCCAACGGTATTCGCCCTCTTTCTGAGAGGTTTCAAGGGTTGCTCGCTCCAAAACAAGCATTAGCATATTTGTGAGATGTCTGAGCACCTTAGGAAGAGGCATCGTCGCGCATGCATACTACATAGTAGATGTGTCTCCTGGCGCCAGCAAGACCAACCGCTCGTGACAGATAGTACCAAGAGAGAGCATGGCAATGTACCTGTGTAGTTGAAACTCATTCCAGTCCTACTTTGCTCCGCTTCTCTCTTTCAAGGCCATCTCCAGTCGGCCCCATCCACGTCTCCAGAGTCCGGCATCTCAACCACGCCCCGCCGACGGCGCTAGCAAAATATTCTCCGTCCCCAAGCTCCAGCTCCATCCCGAACGCCGTCGACGGGGCCGAAGCCACGCCTCCATCCACACTTTCGTCGCCAACCGCAATTTTTCACTTCTCTTGCAAACGACGGTCCGCTTCCTGCACCCACCCGCCTCCATTGTGAAAACTCTGCATCCCGCGCATTTTTGAACTCCCTCCCCGCCGGGGTCCTCAACATCCACTGGGATTCATCCCAGCAACAACTGGCCGGTTGGCCCAATGGCAAGGCGTCTGACTACGATTCGATCGTGAAATCAGGAGATTCTGGGTTCGACCCCCAGGCTGGTCAATCTTTTGCCTCTTGGAATGTTTTATACTTGTTGACCGCCCGGGCCTCGATTCTTGACACGCTACCGACTAGGTAGTCAGTATCAAGCGGTCTTCGTGGCTCAGTCGGTAGAGCGTTGGTCTCATATTATTCAATATGACTCTGTCGAAGATAGAGATATCCAAAGGTCGAGAGTTCGAGCCTCTCCGAGGACAATTTCTTTTTAGCATGAGTCTTGCTTTGTTCCTTCGTCAGTGCTATCAGTACAAATTTTGCCTTTTTGTTTTCGGGCATTCAACATGGCGGTAAAATTTCCACAGATATGCATGTCTCCTAAAAGGTTCATTACTTCTCTAGATGAATATGTTCCCGTGGTCCTTACATTTATTATGAGCCACTCTCGCTGACGCAGCGTGTCTCTGTCACTGACGTAAAACTTTACTAGAAGTGCTGCCTAACTTCCGCGGCTTGGATATTACAGTAGCCTCAATTCAAGCGACGTAATATTACAGATGAGGAAATATTTGCAGCCAGACAGGCATCGAAAAGGCGCCTATTGGGAGATTGCGCAGGCTTGCAAAGGATTCAACTGTCAGATAAAGGCGCGCAATCCCATTCAACGCCCCAACTGCAAAGACAATGAAAATTCCAACTAAGCCGGTGTAATCGCCAACATATGGAATGGAATAAGCCTTAACCAGGAAGGAAAGATAGCTAAATGAAAGCACAGTTACGGCATTTCCAACGGGCATGATACTTGCTGTTTTCCAGCAGATTTCCTCGGCTTGGGTGGGAAACTTGCCGTTCCATGCAGACAGATGTAGCCCGCTGTATACCAGTGTAACACAAAGTATGGACAGTAAGACTCGGTAGCCGATAATTTCCAATTTCCGATCTCTTGTGTCAACATAGTGCCAGGGTCCAATCAAAACCACCAAAACATTCAGCCAAAAATCTTCGTTGATGTATCGGTCAGCAATGCTAAAAGCATAGTTGCCCCCTGCAGAGAAGAATGAGCTAAACTCAGAGCTAGGAAGAGCCTGGCTTAGAGATTGCAAGTCCGCTCCCCAATGATTGCGGAGAAATTGTGTTGCCTTTTGCAGACGACGGATGTCTGTTGGCTGGAGATGTAAAGTTGACCAGGGCCCAGTGTCATATTTGAGACCGAATGGAAGGATTTCGTCGTACCGAAGACGTAGAGAATGTCGAATTTCTCTCTGTACCGCAAAGTCATTCTGAATAAAGTCTTGTGGGATTGCAACGATGTTTGAAGGCACATTTGACGTATAATCATCAACGGGATGACTGTGGCTGTCCTGCGGATCTGCAAGAACGAATTTGAGTTCGGGGCATAATTGTGACTGAATCGCAAGACTTGTAAGTCCCAAAATATCGTCAGACTCCGAGCCCAAAAGCTCGGGAGTATTGAGATCAAGAGGTTTCTGCCTTGGTGGTCAATAATTGATTGGTAGCGATTTCAATTGCGACAACTTACCGAAGCCCAGCAGAGCAGCACCACCAATGCGCATGCCACATGAACCATCGTGTGTATCTCCAAAAGTATGATCGGGAGCCCTTGCACCTTTCGAGCGATGCATTGTATTATCATCCACAAGACTTGAGTAGCAATCAAGACTTTTTGGAATACGTTTGCTTTGCTCTTTTCAGGTACATTCGCACGCTCGATCATGGTTTTGAGATCCAGCAGTTCCATATCTATCAACTTCAAAAAGCCGGCAGGAGATATTGGCAACCTCCCTGGGCATGATTTCATAAAGTCTGGACCGAGATTGATTTCTTCCAGGTCCAAGTCAACTTGAAACCCGCCCATTTCGACAAAGAAACAGAAGTTGAGCGGAACTTCCTGCTCGAAATACTGTTGATTAGCTAGGTGTTCGGTGTATCCCATCGAGTGCGAGTTGACGCCAAATTCGCCAAGGGGCGGAGAACGCCAATCAATAAGCAGGACATCACGCTAATACTTCTTTCTAGCCACTTAGAAATTCTGATATCAAGGAAATTGGAGAAAAAAGCGGGCATGTCTTTTTGGCGTCAACTCGCACTCGATGGGATAGAAAGCAAGACAGCAATAGTTGGGCACGAACAATGGAGCAAGACTCGTTCTTCCGTGACTGTAGTGCTTTCAGCTCTTTCCGTAGTGCACGGGCTGACAACATTTGACTTGCCGCAATCACGAGCACTGTGTCGGGGAAAAGAATAGCCATTACGGTCCACCTAAGCTTGTCGAAAAAGCCCGCATAACGCCCTCTGTTGACTGGGATATTTAGATGAAGCACCGACCAGACGCAAGCAAATAGAGTAACCACGCAAGTCAATAGAATATCGACAGTGCCTCTCACTTTGGGAGAGTCCACCCATGATGCTGCGGAGATCGTCGAGAGTGCCTTCGAGTCACCTTCATGTTCCGTAACGAGCCGTTGAATGTCGTCCGCTGACTGCGATCTTGCCGCAGCGAAATTCAAAATGGCAAGGGAAAACAGCCAAAACGCCGATTTTAAAACGGCCATTGGGGAGAACGGTTACGAAATTACAATGGCCTAAAATTTTGTTGAAAAAGGGAGGAAAGGGTCTCTGAGGCCATGCGCCCTGTGATCCGGGACGGGCCAACCTTTTGGTTAATTCGAGCCTGCACGCCCTCGGAGCTGAACTCCCTTTAGCTGGAATCAACTGGCTGATGCTTCATCTTGGCTTGCGGCAGGCTGAGTTGGTACGGTAATCTTTTCCGTTTGCGTTGTCGTTGTGTCACGCAACTTCGCAGATAGAAGCAGGCTGCGCTTACCCTGCACCCCATCAGCGGTCGAATCCCTGTCGAGATCTGAAGCAGCAAACGACCAAAGTAAGCATGATTGACAGCTCTGCGAATGACATGGTAGATTTTGCGCTGGGAAGCCAATTATGTGGGACGAAATGTGCCTTTCGAAAGAGCTTTGATTTCAATATACAGGCTAGCGACGCCGTTTGACTGGTGGCAGGCATTTTTCCAGCTTTACTTCCGTCATCTGTCTACACTTTTCTAACATTGTCCATCAAGCCGGTGATCGCATACCAACAGTGACCGCATACTTCTTTACTCTCGAGCTCTTGCTCAGCCTCTACGACCTATGCGACAGCCCCGAAAGTCAGCATTCCAATCACGGAACTCAGAGAGCCGCGGCTTTTGCCAGGTTTAGTCAGTACATACCGAAGCTAAGCAGCCTAAAGCAAATCGTCGAGTGTGGACTATTCTTCAAATTTCGTCCCCTTGTTCACAGCGTACCTCACCGCGTCGACGAAGCCGTTAAAGTGGTTCCACCATCCAGGCGCGGGCTCTGGCAGAGGAGAACGGGGAACGTGGTTTATTGCAAGGCCCAGAGTTGGTGTCAAGAGAGTGAGAAAGCCGATTACAAGCGCGAGATGCTTCATGTTGAAGTCGTTAATTGGTTTGAAATTAGGTGGTTGAGTCGAAGTCAGGGGGGGGGATAATTGGACGCAGTTGTTGTTTTGCTTCATACATCCGATGTTTGATGGGGGACCGTTTCTGCCAGCTTTCTGCAAGGCGGCTCAAAACCCCCCTTCTTATACCCCATGGGATAGACATTGAGGTTACGCTGTGACCCTCCACAGATCTCTCCGTCAGAGTCATACGGCAGTCAACAAGGTGCGTCTCCAGGCGGCAAACTGCGAAAGAAAAGTTAGAAGGGAAGAAGGATGATCTCCCTGTTTTTCGGGGAGAGAATCATGGAGACAACGTGCGGCTTTGAGCGGCTATGCATTCACGTGGATCAGCTGGTAGACGAGCGATACGCAGAAGTTCATGCGGAATATTCTGGACGAACTAAGCCACAGTCATCATGACCAGAATACGGAATGTGTGACATCAGATTGAGTTTGTAGTTACGACGCAGCCCCCCGCAAAAAGACTACGGCAAAATTCACTCTACACGCGGGCACAATTCTGGAACCACTATATGGGTACTTACTTTAACCTATACCCTCTACCGATTAAGGAAAACAGTGCAGAAACCCTATACGTTCCTGCTAGCAGGCAAACCTTCGCACAAGGTCGAACGCGCGCCCTGGCCGAACAGACCGGCGGAACAGCAACGGCTCCGGCCGCGCGACGTGTCACATCAGATATTTTGTATGAACGAGTATTGATTAAAATTAAACATTAGACATATAACGCTTCGTATCTGAACATATCTATACAGGCATGACCACGTCTTGCACTTAAGCCATCGTCCTGGTGACGAAAGGCAGCGAGCGCTTGTTGTAGCCAGAGTTCTTGTCAACGGCAACCTTGACGGTGGCGCTGGAAAGGGGCGCCTTGACGTCGTTGCACAGGCCCTCGGCCTGGTCCTTGGGCAGGAAGACACGGGGGAGACCGCCGGCGGGCATCTGCACCCAGAGGCGGCCCTTGTCGGCAACGGTGAAGGACTCGCAGTTCACAACGTCGATAACCTCGGAGCCGATGGCGAAGAGGTGGGCGTTGCGGGCAATGGCGAACATGGCGTTGTTGGCGGCGTTGACGCCTCCGCTGGTGTACATGGAGAAGAGCTGACCCTTGCGGAAGGCGATGACGCGGCTCTGGTCGTCGCTGCCGTAGGAGAAGACAGCCTGGGTGCGCTCGGTGGTCAGGAAGTTGGCGTTAGCCTTGGCGGCGTGCACGCGGATCTTGTTGGCCTGCTGCAGCCAGCCGTAGAGCTCGGAGTTGATGTCGTAGCCGGCGAGCCAGAGAGCCTCACGGTTGTTGGGGGTGGTGCTGCCGGAGAAGTGCTGCTCCTGGCCGTAGTAGATGATAGGGATACCGTCGCGGAGCAGGGTGAAGGCGTAGAAGTTCTTGGCCAGGGCCATGTCCTTGTTGGTGTAGGGGAAGCGGGGCTGGTCGTGGTTCTCGGCGAAGGAGCCAAGGAGGGAAGGGTCGATGCTGGTCTTGGCGGCCATCTCGTTGGTGCCGGTGAAGACGACCTCGAGGTCGCTGTTTACCTTCTTGAAGGAGTCGGCGAGCTGGTGGTAGGCGC